CTCACCACATCACAGTGCCGCCGTTAAACTTGTGACGTTTTTGCAACCAGGGTGTTTTCCAAGAAAAAGCGCTCTAAGTCCTTGTGTACTACCACCGTCCGTCTGCGGTCGCTCGTTTAGTGAACCGGAGCCTAATACCTTCTCAGTTAACCGCGAAATTTGCTATCGCTCTCCTATATGCAATCTTGAACGGGTCACGTAGCAGTTTTGATCTTGATGTTTTATAACTTTTTCTCTTTCAAATTAAAATGTCTATACACCCTAAAATATTGCGTGGTGACGAATATATTCTCAATCAGATTCCAGCATCATGTGTGAGATGTACGTGGTTATGACCCCAATCAATTTCGACAACATGAAAACAATACGCTTTGAACGTACAAATCATGTTGATCAGTCTCGTGTGCATCATGTGGCCGGCGGACAACACACGGGGATAATCGTAAATCAGGAATGCAAAGGAGACGGTCTGGCTCCTGAGGTCCCCGAAATGCAATTGGAATTTACTTGCGTCATGTACAATAGTCGTACAACTGAGACACATGCGGTGAGTGTTTCTTTCAAACATTGCACTGTTGTATAAATTGGCGGTTTTTCTGTTAGTACCGTCCGGCGAATTCATTAATGCTCGTTTCACTTTCATTCATTTGAAAAACGAATGATTACTGTTTCTTCTCGACAGTTGAACGTCCCACCACTAGTTCGTGGTAAGTGTGTAAAATGATCCTTTATTGTCGCGGTCAGTAATTTCAACGCTGCTCCATTTTGTTTCTCTCCTGCAGTGCCGATGCTGTTCAATAGTAGGCACATCATCCTGTCGTCCATCACATTACCATGTTTCTTAATGGAGCTTTGCTTGCTTCATCATTACTGTTGGTGGTAAGAAGCTTCTCCATCATCTGGCCCAATATCACGCATATGTTAATAGGGTCCTAGGTTGCTCACCACTCCAAGCAGTATGTCTTCGTCTCTTGACTTCCTTTTTTATTTATTGAATATACAAATATTCAGTCAACATTCAGTAAGAGGGGCCGCGGCCATACAAAGGCTGTCTGGGAAGACGCGGCGTTAGAGTGGTTTGAACCCAGGAATCCCGGGTCACAAGTTGGCGACCTAACCACTTGTTCACCACCGTTTAAGTTGCCGGGTGCAGTAGACAATCAGGACAATGAAGGTCAAACCTGCAGCTCATTACGTAATAATGTGTAGTAATCAAATATCTGCTAAATGGGGTTATATAAAATAGGTTCTCATAGTCATGGAGTTCATTCTGTTCCCTGTCTTACCGTTTTGGCTTCGGATGTTGGCTTTTCGTCTTCTCACTTTGGTGGAGGGCACCTGCACCATGCGAAGGCAGTGAGTAGAGCTTCTTCGGCAGAGGCTGTTTGAGACGCTTGGTCGTATAGGAGCATTTCTTGAAGTGCAAAAGAAGTTTCAGTTCAGTTCAGTTTGAAACGCCCTCAACCGTGCACTTTCGTGCGCCGGTTTTGGTTACCCATTTGGATGAATAATGGGAGAAGACAGGAAAGTTGAAGGTAAAGTCGAACATAAAATGGAGAAGTTTAGTGGTCTAAGTTTGCAAAGAGAAGTGTGACCAGTCAGAACCCCAGACACCCACTTTCGACCCTGCTGAAACTTTCGGAACAGAACTTATGCGGATCATCAATTGTCGATGCCATACTTCTTGGTTTGACTTCGTTTTTCTCAAAAAGCCGTCACTGATGGCACCACAAACAAGGGCGTTATCGTTCAGTGTTAACGATTAATGGCAAACTAAGCTAAACGAAGCTTTTTTCGACAATTTTTCGGATAGGGATTGAACAAATTGGTTTCGTTGAGAATAATTTTGTGTTGACTATAGTAACGTGTATTAAAAAAAAACTTTTTACATTTTCTCCTTTCTTTCGGAAGGAGTTTATTCGTATCTAAGCGGTGACCATTATTTTTGGAGCGATCGATCCACGCTCATCGTTTTTCGCTTGCCATACCCTCATCGAACTGATGCACACGTTTGTCCCACTTATCCCTTTTGGATACTAGGAGAACCGTCGCCTAAAGTTCTGGTTCACGAAAAGTACACAACAGTTTGATCGGCTAGATGAGTCGTATGCCTTCTTCCGCGAGCTTATCAATCCAGATGCATTTCCTCGAGGTGGGTTTATTATGTATTTTAGAGGAATCATGATAAATCGAACGACAGTTTTTTATCCCCGGACAGCAAAACTGTGTTGCCCAATGATCTACCTCCTGAACGTGCTTAACTTACTTTTTGTCTCTTCGTAATGTTCTG